ATTCATTGTGTGGTTGGGGAAAACTCTCAAGTCTATTCATTGTGTGGGTGGGATTCTTTTTCTCCGTTTCTGATAAGCCTTATCTTATTCTTTACAGTTTCGAGTTTCTTCTTTCCTTTTCTAGACAATAGTACTAATATATATATTTCTTTTGTCAAAAAATGATAAAAAAAAAAAAAGAATGATGTTAAGAAATGAATGATTTTGTGACTTACTGGTGAACACTGTTGTGTACTCTTCTGGTTAGCTCATAGAGAGATCATAAACGGATATATATGGTACTATTGGAGAATAAAGCCTTCTCCGAACCTCTTTATTTAGAGACAACTACCAAAACACTTACACTTAAAACTATATATAATACATAATACTGAATGTATGTCTCTTCTGATCCAATTTTGACTTTGATCAGGGACTAAATGGAATTCTTCATTTTCAAGGAATTGACAAAGTACTCTAATGAGCTGCATGAGGAACCTCCACTTCTCGCAGAAGCTTCGAGCTTCTCTTTCAGATCGATGGCTCTCTTCCTCATTTCTGCTCCTTCTTCATCCACAAGCAAACTCTTCACAGCTCTCTCCACTGTTCTTTTCTCCAGCTCTCCCTCCAATTGAACCCCGATTCTCCAAACACTCTCTAAGTACCTTGCATTGACTCTCTGATCGCCCGTAAAAGGCCTGCAGATCATCGGAACTCCTTCCCCGATACTCTCTAGCGTCGAGTTCCATCCACAGTGACTCCAAAAACCTCCTACTGCAGGATGTTTGAGAACTTCCATCTGTGGAGCCCATTTCACAATGTAACCTCTTTCTGAAACCAACTTACTAAATTCCTCCGGTAAGGACTCTGTCCATTCGGAGGCAGGAATGGACCCCGGCCGGATCACCCATAAGAAAGGTTGGTTGCTATTACTCAATCCCCGAGCCATCTCCAACACATCTTTGGTTTCCATTAGAGCTAAGCTTCCCAAGCTTATGTATATCACAGAGCTTGGTTTCTGTTTGTTCAACCACTCAATGCAGCTTCTGTCCTCTTCAAGCAAACTAGAAGGCGCAGAAGCTGCAATGTGAAGAGGGCCGATAGGATAAACTGGAACTTGTAGTTCTTGTTGCAGCCGTGCCAAAGACAATCTCTCTAGACAGCTCGCTGAGTTGATGATAACAGCGGAAGATGTTCGAACGTTAACAGTCTCAATGTAAATCTTGAGAGTACTCTCTAATGGCCCAAATGCTGAAGTAGGTAGGTCCTTGTACCTTAGAGGATGCAACCCTGGAAACACTTTGTCTTGAATTTTAGGATCTGCAATCCAAAACACCATTTAGATCTCTCAATGGACTTTTCAAATCGAGGTACAAAAAAAGCTTGAATCTTGAGTACCTTTCATGTCTATCGAGAACTTCTCCGCGTTGACTTTAGCAATAACAGAGCGACAGACAAAGGCAGTAGCGTTTGTAGTGCTGAAGACAACACTAGGAAGTTGAAACTCCTTAGCTGCAGCTTCAGAGAAATACATGTACTCATCATAGACAACACAAGCAATGTCATGAGCATTACTTTGTTCCTTCAATAGTTGACCTAAACATTGCTTGAAACTTGCCTCACAGGTTTGATTGAGCTTGATCATAAACTTGAGTGGCCCTAGGGTTTTGAGATCAGACTCAGGTAAACTATCCGGGATGGTGAGAAACTGAAAATCAGAGAAATCTTTGGAAGAGCTAACTCGATTATTCTGTGTCTGAACAACAGTGATTGAGAACCCTTTCAAGTCAAGAGCTTTCCCAAGTTGCATAATCGGAGTTACATGGCCTTGTGCTGGAACAGGAACCAACACTATCCTTTTCTTCACTACCTTCACCTCCATTGCTAATCTCTCACAATGTTATAATGGAAGAAGAAGCTCAAAGAGACAGATGTGAACGCTTTCACTTAGATCAGATCTGGTCTTATATAAAAGACACGTGGGATATAACATTCACTGTTCTTTGGTTGCGAAGATTTTATTTTTTTATCCCTAAGTGGTAAAGTCAGATTGATAATTTGGGGTTTTGAGGAAAGCTCTCAACATCATTCATTCATTATGTCTGCAACGACAAAGACAAAGCAAGTGGGGTAGGCTGGCTTTACTTCGAGTTAGTAACCGACAGAAAAAAAGAACCGAAGTTACCAGAAAAAGATTCTGATTCTGAATCGAGCAAAAATTAAAGGCTTCCTTTGTCTTTCTCTAATAAGTTTTGATCTCATCCTTTCCTTTCTTTTACCTTTAAG